AATACTACCATTAGTATAAAAAGTTAGGGTAAAGTGTCGTTGACAGCAAAAAAAAGAAGACCCATGTTATGAGGTCAGTCAAATTGACCAACCCTGTATAGGGTTATATTATAGAAAATAACAAAATTAATTTTTTCTGAAATAAACAACAAAAAACATTTAATATTTACTTTGGAGGTTTTAGAGATAATGCAAATAAAATTTTCAAATGAAGAAAAGCATTTTTAATCTTAACATGAAAATCACTCTGCACTCGAAGCAGTCAACACTCCGATACCACATTATTACAGATAAAGTTTTAGTAAAAATAATTAATTAAAATTTCAGATTTTTTGCCTACAAGAGACATTTAAAGTTTACTGAAAACTTGCCAAATTTCATCAAGATAAACTTAATACATTCAGAGTCATAGTATGTATATCACCATGGTTACATAGTGGTTACAAGGTTATGTAAAATACACAAGCCCATTGTGATAGGGGTAATTGTCATGGAGTATGAAAGTAGCTAGGTTCCTGATCACCTAAACATTAAATATCAAATTATGAACTTTATACCAGCATTAGTGACAAGTTTTCTTTATGATCTGTAGATAATAATATTCTTATTGTTACTCTTTAATTTGTAGTGAACCATAAGTTATTATATAATCTTCAGTCAACAAATTACAAACTTGTTGACATGTAACTTACAGTCATATTTCTCTGTTTTTTCAGGTAAACTAGCATTCCCTACAGTTTCAGATTTAAATACAAGGCTACGAAGGGTTATCACAAGTTATCAGAGAACACACAAGAAAGAAGAACTAAGACTAGCACAAAGAGCAAGGGTAAGTACTAGTTTTTTTGTGAAAAGAGAGAAAAATATTCTCCTTAATATGTTTGGGTTTTCGATAATTTTTATATGACTTGGAAATTCCATAGGAACTCTGATATAAACTGAAACTTTCAAATTCTATATTTTAAAAATTCCTATCATTACTGTAAAATGGAATGAGAAAGGAACTATAAAATACTGAATCCAACATACAGTTTATGCTATGATTTAAATAAAGTTTAAAAATGTAGATATCATGATGTATATAAAGATATTTTAAAAATTACAAATATTACTGGGTTGATTTTTAGTTCTGATCTATAGGTAGCTTTGATCAGATATTAATATTAATTACCTACAACTTGGAAAAAAAAAATTGTAGCTAAATGTGTGAAATTTATTACCAAAACTAATGTAGAGAACACATCTAAAAAGTGTTATATTTGTTTATAAGTGTGTGATTAAGAAACTTACAGATTTTTTGTCCTGTTGTTAATTCCATCCTGTCACCCAGGATGAACCAATGGTGAGGGAACTTTTCTTTGTTTCTGTGTTTGAAATTTTCTATATTTCTCTTGGCTGGAACGAATAACCAAGCAGCATATGTTCTTACTATTCTTGTTTGCTTATCGGTATGGCAAGCTGTCTTTAACAGCACATTACAAAGCTTAAATATTACTTTTTTTGCTTTTTTTTTCTTTGCTCACAAGAACTAGTTCTGTATATTGCATGTTCTGAAGACTAGGTAATTATCTGTATATCTTAAGATAATGTATTGGATTTTAAAACCTATTTTTTTTATCTCATTTAAATGTAGAAGTATATTTAGGTTTTAGTTTGTAAAACTGTATAAAGTAAAATAACAATATTCGAACTGTGAAAAATGTGAACAGTGTTTCGACATTATAGTTGCATGACAGTATAATAAAACAATCTAGATAGTTTACAAGAAGGTATACAGTAACAGATGTTTGAACTGAGTTTTTAAAAGAAATATAATGTTTGTTGGTATTCATTATATACTTCAGATATTAAAATACCTAAACATAGCTTTTGTAATAATAGAAATCCTTCATTAAGTAAACCAAACTAACTGGTACTGAACTTAAAGCTAGCTCTCTTAAAGAGTAGACCAAATATAAATTGTTTAGATTGTTTTATCTCAACTTAGTTCTGTTTGAACTTTTTCTGTCCAAATGTCAGAACTAAGGTAGTTACCTGGTTGTTTTTGTTTTTTAGTCATACATTTTTGCTTTAGTGTGTTGTTTATTATCCAAAAATGTCTGATGATGTAATTGATATTTATATTATTTGTTGACTTACCTTTTCACTAATCCTGGTTTATTTTTCAATTTGCATAGTAAGCATCAGTTCTGCTAAGAATTATCTTATAATTTTTCTTACAAATTTCTGCAGGTTGATTTCAAGTCTGTACATGTAAATTTAATAAGATTTTGCTGTTGTTCCATCAGAATAAGCCATATCAAAATAATTTTGAATATCTGTTAAATATCATTTATTCATTTCATTCAATTTTCAATATAAATATTTCAATGTGATCTAAGTCTTAAATTTTGGGTTGAAAACAATTTTGGCAAAGATCTGTCCTGTAGACTAAACCTGTAAGTGTTTCATTTCTTAAGAGTGATATGGTTTTAATATTTGTGCAAGAAAGTTCTTTTATAATTTGAAGTACTTTAAAAATAAAAACTGAGAGGAAACATACTCTATGTTATGCAGCCTTGTACCATTTTTACACATACAGAAGTTAATACTTTTACTCTGTCTACCATGAAAATGGACATCTTAGAGTTGCAATTTTAAAATGTAATTGACATTATGTGAAAACTAATCAAAACTACCAGTCAAACCCAGTAGATTAATTTCAAGATTTGCCTTATATCCAATTCTAATATTAGTTTTATTTTGACTTGGATTCCAAATTAATATTGAAGTTTATTGACCATATATAATTTCCTTTTTAAAACTGTGGTGCTATAAGTTATTGTTACTTGAAATATTTTTTTGTGCATGTCATTAGAACTTGTATCATGTTTATAGATCACAAAAAAAAGAATTTCATTATGATTTTTTATTATTTCAGAACCACAACTGGTTAAATAGTCAAATAATACATAACTCTTTCCTGAAATAAATGTCAGTGTGCATTAAGAATTGTGTGTTCTGAAAATGTTTGTCCTCTTGCTAACCTATTTCCAAATCTCAACATTTTGTATAGAAATTGAACAGCTTTTTTCCCTTCTATCAAAACTTAGTTCAATACATTTATTGTGTAATAAGATAGTTGATTGTGTTTTATGATAAAAAGAAACACCTTGGCAAACAACATTTTCGGCCAGTGAGAGGTTTTTCTTTCTTATGAATTTCATCTTGCATTGCAGTTGTTCCTGACTGTCCTGTTTCTTGCCAGTTTGTTTTAAATTGTTCATTTTTTATTCTCTCCTGTTTATTGACTTCAAGAATCCCACCATCAAACAAATACTTGGCCACAGTTTCTTTTGAGAGATCTTTTTTACCAACTAGAGGGTATGAAAGGCAATGATAAATTTTCTATTCTTAATGACTAGGCTGTTTCTTGGTTTAAATTTTATAGTTCCCCAAATTTACTTTTTCATTCAACAGATTGCTAAGGTGCAAGCAAGGACTTTGTATCATACAATGGAGAGGGATGCTTAGATCCCTCACAAGGGATGACATACCACTTGATTTTGCTACTTTGTGGACCATTTTTTCAAAATCATCTAATAGAATATTAACATTGCTGCTTGTTGTGACACTTGAAATTGTTCAAGGTCATACACTAAAGCAAATTCTTCATTTTTTTAATGTAATGATAAATTGTTTCCATCTTGGGTGTTGTCCTTCGTCTATTACTCTCCAGTGAGTGTACTGTTCTCTTATTTTACTCCTGCATATATGGTGATGTATGGTGAGAAATTATTGCTTAATATCAGACAACATTGTTGCATATGCTTCCACTCTATTTTAATTGTTCTACAGCCTGAAGGAACTGGATGAATTTTTAGTTTTTAACACAGTATACATTTCCATGAATGTTATAAGTACACATTTCTTAGTTAGAAACAGCATATTTAACATGAAGATAGCAGAACCTTTTTAATTGTTTGAATACCTTTGAGACACTTAATGAACAGTGCCCTTTGAATTGCATAAGGTTTACAGTGTTCATGGAATGAAGTGCTGGAACATTTGACCCCTCAAAATGTCTTGTTTTCACTTGTCGGCTTTTAAAGGATATAATTTTGTTTAATACTTGTTTGTATGTATTGAGAATGTTTTCAAGTTCGTTCCCCCACCTATGAACTAGCACCAGTTTATCAGCTTCATATCCAGACCATTGAAGGTGTAGATACTCATTTGTCAACATTTTTCATGTTGGCTGCATTATATCATAATATGAAATATTTTTCTTAGTCATAATGTTCCTTTAATGATCTCTAACGTAACTTCCAGTACGTTGAGATTCACTGGTGCTGCTGGAAGAATAAAAGATTGTCTTTGGAATGGTAATCATAAAATTGAATACTGCTTCATTGTAAATATTACTCCAGACATCAAACACCATGAAGGGATGATGAACTTTATTGATTAGGACACTTACTTATCTTTTGCTGAGCATATATATTCCCAATGTTAAGGTTATTTGTTAGCTGTTATTATCTGCAAAGTTTATTGATTGAGTGTAGCTTATGAAAAAATTTTTACCTGGGAATTTTTAGGAACATCGAAAGGTGTTTCTTGCTTAAGTAGAGTGAGTGAACAGGTAATCAAGTTATTCTGGTCAGGCAACTTTCATAAACCTGGTAATTTCAAATTAAGGCATACTTTTGGCATGAAGTGATTTAATTGGAATGGGAAGTGATGGCATATTTCCACTTCTTGACTTAAATTATTAGATTCATCATTAATACATTAAGTAAATGTACTCTTATTATCTGTTCTGGAGTGATTTATTTAATGTTTTGACAGAAGTTTAAGAGTAATAGCACACTTGTTTTTGGTTTGAATTTTCCATGATTAGATACGGCTTTGTTTTGTTAGGTCAGGAATAAAATGTCTGTACAAAACTTGCACTTTGCTGTTGAAAGTTAATACAGGATACTTGAGATTACTAAAATCACCAGTGTCCCTGTTAAAAATAACTGCTTGACTTCATTTTCAAATACACCTTTTTTCTGTAGAATATTATTTTATTGCATACCCAATAGAACTTCTTTTCTATAAAATTTAAATCATTAACTATACTGCACTACAATTCCAGAAAGATCCAACCATCCAGCATTATTTTTTAATACATCTCCCAATTTGGCATGAAGCCTACATACAGTTAATATCTAGAATTTCTCAACCTAAGTGGAGTAATAGAGCTTTCAAAAGTAGCAAGAACAGTTCTCTAGTAACCTACTGTCTATAATAATAAAAGCTTGTACTCCTATATTTTATAGGGGTTATATGTGTGAATAATTATGAAAGAGATTTGAGTCATGTTTTGGCTTATGGTTAAATGATAATAATAATAATAAAGTAAGGTTGTGATGATTTTGAGATTGATTCTAAGATTACAATCTAAGCCTCTTTACCAAAGATGTGGCTTATATATGTCAATAGTCAATATTCTGCTTGATGTTAAATCAAGTTGCTTTTTTTAATTTCATGTAGAACATTAAACTAGACAATAGCTAAATAATTTTTGGAAATCAGTTTCACTAATATTTGTAATTTAGTTGAAGCAAAGTACTTGCACTGACAGTAAAATAGAAGCTTGGTCATTATCAATAGTTAAATATTTTAAATACTGAGTAAACGCACAAGTTTTATGAACTTATTGGTGAAGAAGAAAGAAAAGTTAAAAATGTCTAGTCCGATTAGTTTTTAAGCCTCCAAATGAATGTTGTTTTATGTAGTATGTAATCACTTGCAACAATCTTGAATAAAGGAGATTAGTTTAATTTGTTAGTTGCTTCAAAGCCGCAATGCTTTTTTTGAAATTATGTCAATATCTGTATTTTGTACTTCAGGTCTTTCTTTAATATATATATATATATATATATATTGTGTATTAAAATTTACAACAAGCCAGACATTAATTGCTCATTTTACTAATCTTTTGAGTAAATATTGCTTTAAGTATTAATCTCATGTTGTTTACAACTACAGATTGAATGACCCAGGTGGTAAGAAACTTAAGAATATTTTTTGTGCTTTATGTTATTATGTAAAATATACAGCCCTTTAAGATCAACTCAAAAATATTTGAGTAGATATTTGTACAAATCATAAATATGGAGATTCCAATTAAAACTGCTGTACTGATCAAAGTAACTCTTCTGAGGCTGTTATGTTGTGATTAAGAATAAAATTAATGTATGCATGTGTATTGAGAATAGTTATTTTCATGAGATTTATTCAAAAATTTTATTCTTTGTATTATATATGTATTGGGATGATTTACACTGGACTTCTCAGTAACTGATATATTTTCTTGGTGCATGTTAACTTGTAGTTTTGTGGTTAAGATTGTTAAAAACTCGTTAGTTTAATATAAGTTATACTATAGGATAAACTCGTATATATATATTCATGCTTTGGAGCTCTAATTTTTAATAAACAATTAAATTCCAAGTCTTTAATAACAAAAATTATTGCAGACATGCAAGTTTATTCATGGATGTCCATTTGATAAGTAGTCTGTCTAATTAGAAACTTTAAACACGTATACAAACAAAAGATTGTTTGGTCCTTCAAGGCTGTCTGTCCCTGTACACCTACTCTTTTGAAAGTGAATACAAGTTAAACCCATCCTTTGTTGTTGTTAGATAATTATCCTTTTAAACTCTTGTGATGTGTTGGCCTCCACTATTTTCAATGGCAAGTCATTCCATAGCCTAATCACCTTAGGTGTATAAAACTATCTTAACTGGAGACTACCTTATCTTTTCCAAGTCTTAAACTAGTGTCTTTTGTCTTGTTTTCATTATTCAGAACCAAGAAATCAGGAACCTTTCTTTCATTGGTCTATTGGATGATCTTGTAATCTTCTCTATGATTATTTGTTACTTTTTTTTTTTAAGAAAGGATAAGAGATGTTAACTTATTCTCCTACATCATCCTTGTAGCTCTCCTCTAAACATTTCCATTAAGCCATAATCCTTTTTTAAATAACACTATTCAGTGCTGTACATAATATTCCAGTTGAAGCCTAAGTAGCGATTCATATATAGATAATTGCCTCTTTTGTCTTTTAATCAGTATGTAATCCTTTATTTTTACTACTAGCAACCCTTGCGTTGAGGGTTTGAGTGGCTTATCCACAACAATCCAAGATCATTTTCTAAAGTTATACTGTGTTGTGGTTTTCCCATGTATACCAAATATATGATTCAGGTTGTGATAACTCAAGTGCATTTCTGTGCACTTACTATAAGTAAAGGTCATTTGGCAACCATTTGCCAAATTTAACAATTAATCCAAGTCATTCTGTTGTACCTCAACATTCTCAATACAGCTAGAAATACCTAAGAGTTTAATGTAATCAGCAAACTTCACTAATTTTGCTCCTAACAGTCATCATTGGAAATAAGGAAAAGCAGAGGACCAAGCACTGACTCCTTTGTCACCACTAGTAACAATGATCAAATATGACTGTACTCTTGTTAATCCTTTCCAGGCTGGCAAATGCCTTTCAAGTGTTGAGTGCACACCTGCATATCAGATTTCTAAATTTAAGTTAAAATAAAAATTCTAATTCAGCAATTTTTTTAGTTTAAAATATTTTATGAATTTATATTTTGTCATTTTGTGACATTTAGCTAATGTAATTCACAAAGAAAAATTCCAAAATGTTCAAACTTGCATTTGTCTGCAGCTCTGAAGAATTTTATCTGTAAACATTGCCTGTAAAATCAAGTTGAAAATGGTTGGATATATAAAATTGAACTCACTGATCAACATTTAACAAAATTTAAATTCTAAAACAAAAATAAGTGTTTTTAATGTTTTTTTCTGACACTGTCTCACAACAAAGTTTTGGAAATTTGACAACGTAAAAGATGATTCAGAAGCTAAATTAAATAAAGAACTACTCCTAAGTTTATCCAGCTTGATTAAGGATTTTAATTGTGAGAGGGCAAAAATTAAAAGATATCAGTGACATTCCCAACCACAGTCTGGAAAGAGTGGATAGCCTTTTGTCACCCAGCCAACGTTTGAGCTAATTAATTAGTCTTTTTCCCAGACTTCCGCTGATGTTACTTTCATGATTAATTTCTCATGTAGCACGACAAAAATCTGAAGTACAACAAGTCCACAGGCTTTCTATCATCCAGATAACAAGTAACATGCTTTCAGAAAGTTAATAGATTAGTAAAGCAAGATTTTCCTTCAGTGTATCCATATTTCATGAAATGATTTTGCAAATTATCTTTTATCAGATTCTAATATGATTTTTTCACAACAAAATTAAGATTGCCTGCTTTGTAATTTCCGATGCAGCTCTTATCACCTCCTTTGAAAATAGCAGTAATGTTACTTTAACAACAGGTCGAAATAAGTCCAGTTCAATCTTTTTCAGACAAGCAAATGAACAAAAAAGTTCATCTGTTAGCTGAATTGTTTTAGATAGTAGTGAAGTAGAAGTTAATGTGTGATAAAATTGAAACCAAAACCCGAGTTAAGTATTGTTTGGTTTTTCTCAGTTGTTAAAAAGTGTTAGTTTAGTCAGGTATTCAAAATAAATAAAATTGTTTAGTTGTGTATATAAACAATGAGTGATGAAAACGAGAAGCATGAAAATAAGATTGCTTGGCTAGCAGTTCTATGCTTATTTTCTGTTATTAACAAGCATTTATTATTCGTAATTGATACTTAATTTTCATATTTTACTTGTTATAAATTAACTTTCTGAAAGAACTTAACTTATTAGTTTAATCTTTTTTGTACTTTAAGTATAATAAAACACACAAATATAGAAAACTTTAGTAACAGTTTTGAAGATAATTATTGCAGATATTAAAAATTAACCTTTTATGAAATATTTTCAAAATTTAATTTTTTCATTTAAATTCTACTTTAATTATTAATTTTTTTTGGGGGGGGGAATGTAAGTATCTTAAGTTAATATGTAAATATTATTTACCATGAACAAAATTGAGAGTGGTAAGTTTTCTGTTTCTAGGAGGCATCCTCTACTTATAGAAGATTTGTATTACACATGAGAATTAGGGAAAATTAATTTACTTTAAATGTTTTTGGTGTTATAAGATTTTGCATAATAAACTTTTAAGTTTCTTTTTTATAAAAGCTAAGTAAAAATATATTGTTACCAATATAAATTGATGATGACAAAATTGTACTTTTGATACAAAGTTAAGATATTTTTGTTTTAGGCACATGGACTATTAAATATGATGCACACAGACAATTTATTACTAGTGTAACTAAATTTTTTCCAACCATTTGGTAATTTGTAAAATGTTGATTATTATATTATCAATTTTATTGCTAGCAGTCTTGTATTTAAATGTAATATTAACATGCTGCTTTATTTTGTACTAGAGTTTGCAGTAGCTGCATTTTTGTTGTTTTTTTGCATTGTCTCCATGTGATTGATGTATAAAGCTCATACAGTGTATTTTATGAGTATCAATATAGGACAAGATAGAAAAATTAGTGCCGTTTAAAAGCTGAAAGACATTAATAGCATCACTAAATATGTTATTATTTTATGCAATTCGTTTTTCTTTATCACAGCTAAAAGATAAATTTTAGAAATTAAAATTTTAACCTATTTGTTTTTATAGTATGATAAATTAAAGCTCCTTACTATGTACTGATGGAAAATTAATTTTTTCAACATGCAGATATAAATGATCCATATAGTATTAAAGAAGTAGTTAAAAGATTATTATTTTGCTTTATTCAGAGAATGGAAAGAAGGGAAAAATTTGAAGCAGCTATCAAGGAAAGGGAACTGAAGAAAAAGGAACTTCAACAAAGGTAGCTACAAAAATATATCTCATTTTTCAACCACTTAAAAAACAATTTTTGAAGCAAAATATTATATCTTGGTAATTAACATTGTGTTTGAATTTTTATGCATGAATTCCTCACACAGTTTTGGAGCTAGCAAGATCAAACTTAGCAGGCAGACTCTGGGTGGCCTTATTTATATGGTATAGCTACCTTACCATGGGGGCTAAATTTTTTGCTCCTAGAAACTCACCCAAGCATGATGGAGGTCTAGGAGTAGATTTTGAGAATCATTGAACATTAATTTGGTATTGACTTTTGTGTTTCTGACCTCTCCCTTGGGATCTCGGTGGCACAATTTTTCAAACTGTTCGTATATCCTCACTCACAAGCTAATAGGACCAAATAAAGCACACGTGGGCAAGTGTCCTAATAGCATTTGTTTTTGGGTACAGATCCCACTTGAGGTTGCTATAGAGGTAATTGGGGATAATGGAGAAGCTTAATTGGTACATTGGGGTTTTGAACCCCTCAGAAAAACACTGATATTCTATTCTGGTATTTATTATTACTGTAAAGTATTAGGAAAGAGAGAGGAGTTGAGAGTTTTTATATGTAAGGTAGTTTAAAATGTGAAAACTTGTTCATTATTAAGCAAAATATCTTTCATAATGAAAATGCTTCATAATTTATAGTACTTTTTAAAATGTTTTATGAGTTTCTTTTAGGAATTCCTGCTGCTTCCTGATGAACTTTTTGTTTTTAATTGGTTGTCTTTCAACTTGAAGAACTGAGAATAGCTTTTACCACAGTTAAATTATTACAAGTTCAATATTGCATCACTATTTGAAATTGAAAACTTTTAAGATAAAGTTTAAACCTTTTACCTTTGTATTTATGTTACAGGTTAATAGTAGGTATGTGAATTGTAAATGCTTTTGAAGTTCAGAAGTTAATGTATATATTTTATAAATCTATTACAAAGGTTTACAGTATATAAAATTTTATTCATTCCATTGAAGAGAAGTTGTAAATACTTGTTTCTAAGATGCATACATTAGACTACAAAAACAGTACTTGTTAATTAAGTTGTACAATTTATACTTTACAAGTGATGGTTTCTATGAAGTAAATTATAGCTTACATGTTGTTTATTTTTATAAGCAGATGGTCTCGGAGAGAAGAAGCAGATTTCTATCGTACTGTGTCTTCATTTGGTGTGGAATTCAAGTGCAGTGAGCAGAAGTATGTCTGGAATCGCTTCAGGGCTGTAGCAAGATTGGATAGAAAGTTTGATGATACTTTAACAGAGTACTTCAAAGCCTTTTATGCAATGTGTAAGCGAGTTTGTGGCAGAAAATTGACAGATGAAGAAGGTAAATTGTTCTTACTGTGTTAAGGGTATTAATAAAGGTATCAGAAATTCTGTGTGTCATCTTTCATTTAGTTAGTAAATACAAAAATATATCTCATTCCAGAAAAAGTATTAAAGAACATTTTTTTTTTTTTCAGTGTGGATGTGTCTTGTGTATAACCAAAAATTCATTAGATGTATTTATAAATGATTATTTTGTAATTTTCTTAATCACCAGTTAATAACCTGTTAACTAAAAACTGTGTTCAAAGATAGCTTTGTTGTTTGGTTTGAAATTAATATTTTGCAGTGTTATATTTAATGTAAGGACATTATAAAATATAAACTAGTAAAAACTAATTGAGGAAATGTGACTGTGTGTGTTTTGACATTGCTCATAGGGATAAACCTGAATTTTTGTTTCTGTTATGTTATGTGATTCAATACCAGTCATTTCATGATGAAACATCAGTAAGTCTGAAAAGAGAGAGTTTCTCTTGCTGATGCATGTGTACCTTGGAGAACTGAAAATAACTGGACATGGAAAAAAAATTATAAATACATATTTTAAAGTATTTGAATAGTAGAATGGTTATTCAAACAAGCTCTTTGCTTGCAGCTCAACTTCCACTAATTGTGGAGCCAATCTCAGAGGAGCGAGCCAGTCGTTGTCTCCAGAGAATTGATCTCCTCAACAAGATTCGGGAGGAAATCTTGTTTCATCCTGAATTGGAGGAAAGACTAAAATTATGCCAGCCTTCTATGGATCTGCCAGACTGGTGGCAGTGTGGAAAACATGATAAAGACTTGCTCATCGGTGCTGCAAAGTAAGAATAGAGCATCTATATTGTTGTATTTAATATAGTTCATACTCAATGTAACTTACTGTCTTTTAATATATGCTTAACACAATGTGTTAAACATAGGTTTGGATAAGAATCAAGTACCCTATGCTACCAAAAGTCATGGGGCATGGATAGTTATGTCTAAAACATGTCTTTATTCCAAGAAATTAATAGTGTGTTGACCCGCCTTTGGCCTAAATGACTGCTTCAATGCTTCGTGGAAGACTGTCTACTAATTTCGGGTAGAAAGCTAGCGGTACTGTGCTCCACTCCTCCTTTAAAGCATCAGTAAGATCCACTGTTGAAGAGGGCCACCTTGGCCTTGCCCTAATTCTGCATTCCAGTTTATCCCAAAGATGTTGTATTGGGTTGAGATCAGGACTCTGTGCTGGCTACTGCAATGTTCCGATGTTATTCTCTTTAAACCATGCATTCACAATCCTTGCTTTGTGACATGGAGCATTACCATGTTGGAAGGCGTAAAGGCCAGTACCATAAAATTGGCACAATATAGAACAAAGAATTGTTCAACACATCAATGTAGGACTCAGCATTAATGGACCCTTGCACTGTGATCAGTGGACCTAGTCCATGCCACAAGAATGACCCACAGACTATGATACCACCACCTACAACCTTCACTGTTGGGACAACACACTCATGTAATAAGCATTCTCCAGGCATCCTCCATACCCAAACATCTCTATCAGACTGGAAGAATGTGTAGCATGACACATCGCTCCACAGGACCAATTTCCATTGATCCACGGTCCAGGTTCGAGGTACCTTGCCCCAAGCCAATTGATGGTGTGCATTTGGTTTTGTTATTAACAGCTTGTGGGCTGCAGCTCTTTTGTGAAAATTCCTGGCATGCAGCTCTCGACGTGTTGTGGAAACACTTGTAGGATTACCTGTGGCTGCTCACATCTCGAAATGCAGATTTTCTAGGGTCTGACGGCAAGATGATGTAACCAGCCTTCTCAAGGCACGTTGGTTCCTGTCAGTCAGTACTTTATGCCTACCTGGTTGTTTCTTGTGGACTTCCATTTCTTCAGCACGTTGTCAGTTGTTGACTTGGAAATGTTTAATTGTTGCACAACAGCACATACAGACATTTTTCCCAAATGACATCAAACTATCCTTTCCCACTGAAACTCCGTTAACTCTTTCCATGTACTCATTGTATGGAGTACAAGTTCGAAATGACTGAGCAAACCACTGATCACATTTATAGGCCAAAATATTTCATCATCATACCCATTTCCCTGCAATCAGAGGTGTGTCCCATGACTTTTGGTAGGATAGTGTATGTTAGCCAGCTATATTACTGTAAATGTAGACCGTCTTGTATATTAATATTATCTCTCCCTACTCGGGGTCGGTCAATTTGACTGAGTCATGTGACCTTTTGTACTTATTTAAAGTCTTTATATATTTAATACTTATAACTTTCAATATATTGGCTATATCTTCACGAAAGTTGGCAGTCTTTCAGTTTATATTACAAGCCTTTCACATACAAAAAGTCATTTTCTTAGTGAAGTATTTTTTAATAAAATAAAATAAAGATTTGTCCATAAATATTTTGAGTATTTGTTTTGAATAGTCGGTGTGCAAAGTAATT